GGGTGGCTAACAACAAATTTAAAACACTTAATTGGTGCAACAAAAAACAGCATAAAATACAGTATAAAATGGGAATAACAATAAATCCAGAATTCAAAAATCTATTTGGGGGGAAATCCATCCAATAAACATTAGATGATCACCAGAGCTAGCTGGCTAAATTAGTCCTATTTGGGCCAGCGAGGAGACCAGGGGAGAATTAGCTGTGGGATCCCAGAGTGGGTAATCTGCATAAAAAGGGGAGGGGGAGGGAAGGAAGGGGAATAAAAGATCAGGCTAAGTTCAAGTTGAAAGCCAGGCGGAATAGCTCTGTCTTACAGGCCCTGCGGAAGGAAGTTAAATCCTGCAGGGCCCTGGTCTCATGTGACAGAGCATTCCACCAGGTCGGAGCCATCACTGAAAAGGCCCTGGCCCTGGTGGAGGATAATCTGACTTCCTTAGGGCCCGGGACCTCTAAACTATGATTATTCATGGACCTTAAGGTCCTCTGCGGGGCATACCAGGAGAGGCGTTCCCGTAAATACGAGGGCCCTAAGCCACAAAGGGCTTTAAAGGGCTCTCCTGGGGGAATTTTATCTTCAAGGGAACATCCCAAACCATGATCTAGTATAAGATATTTCGTTATCCAAAGAAGCAGCAGGAATTGTGTTGTGTTGCTACAACCCAACTGGGTGACGACATCCTTGTAATGTACACATACAGGAAGATAAAGGATTTGTTTATGAATTTCCTTATATACAATGTTTATGACAGTTATGCATGTCATGGAGAAAGTGGATATAGAAAAGTTTTTCTCTCTCTCTCATAACACTAGAACTTGTGGCTATCCAATGAAGGTGAATGTTGCAAGATTCAGAGCAGGTAAAAGAAAGTACTTTCTTTGATGAGGCCCTAAGCTGCTGAAGGTAATGGGGCCCTTTATATGTCCTGCTGTCCTTTGTCAACAACAAATTGTCGCTGTTTTTGTGTGTTGAATATATGCTAGATGATAATTTATGGACCTATTAGGTATCTAAAGCCATTTGCAGATAACAAAATATGTATTTTATCAAAGTAATTGTTGAACTGACCAGCAACCAGTCCATGTAGAATGTAGGCACCCTATACAGTGGTACCTCAGGTTAAGTACTTAATTCGTTCCAGAGATCCGTTCTTAACCTGAAACTGTTCTTAACCTGAAGCACCACTTTAGCTAATGGGGCCTCCTGCTGCTGCCACGCTGCCGGAGCCCAATTTCTGTTCTTATCCTGAAGCAAAGTTCTTAACCTGAAGCACTATTTCTGGGTTAGCGGAGTGTGTAACCTGAAGCGTATGTAACCTGAAACGTATGTAACCCGAGGTACCACTGTATATAGAAATGAGCAAACCAGTGATATTTTAGGGAGCAGGCAGGGCCCATTATTTACCTCATAGGAGCCTACACAACACTGTTGCTGTATGTAGATTTATTTTATTTGTTTTTATCTTATATTCTGGGAATGTACATCCAGTGGCGGTTTTTTCCTTTAATTTTTTTGGGGGCCCCCAAGAGAGTGGGGCCCTAAGCTATAGCTTGTTTAGCTAATACATAAATCCGGCACTGAGTTCACCCTTAGTGCACCATTCTTCATGCTATTGGGTGATTTCATGATTGTGCTCCATCCATAGCAAGTCAGTGCAGACACACACATATGGGCTCTTCTTCGGCAGAAGTAGATGTGAGTGGATGTGCAGGTTGCAGAGCAATCTTGTAACTTGGCAGCACATTTGTTGATTTTGCCAATTCCTCATTTCCCCGCCCCCCTAATCTTCAGCTGTCTTTCCCACATTGCTGCATCAGAATGTGCTTTTGTTGTTTTTAAAAGAGCTCTCTCAAAAATGCTTCGGCATCTTAACTTGCATGATAAGAGGGTCTGGAAACCAAGCCTTACAAGGCATGGTTGAGGGCAGCGGCGAAGGAAGCCACTTGGGCACCTGGAGTGGCATACCCAGGGACAGGGCGAGCTGCCCATAGGGGTGGGGCGCACCGCAGGGCATCCAGAGTCCGCCTGCCTCTTCCCACTCAGCCACCCTGCAAGCTGGAGGGTGGGCAGCGGGCAGACCATTTGGGCAGAGCTGGAGCCTGCGCGCCCACGCCACCACATCCCTCCCAGGGGAGACGTGTGGCTCAGGCACGCTACAGGCCCTGTGGTGAGTGCCGCCCGGCATTTTGTCACCTCCCTCAGTGGGAACACCCGGGGCGAACCGCCCCCACCGCACCCTCTTCTTCCATCCCTGGTTGAGGGAGCTTGGTATGTTTATTTAGCCTATGTGCTGGGCCCGGGGGTAACCCGAGCAACACGGTCCAGGTCCGGTCCCAAATCCAAGGGTTCCACAAGGAGTCAGTCCAACAGGACCAAAGCAGGACACGAGGCAGGAAACCAGGCAGGGCCAGGCACAGGGTCTCAGGAAGGTTCTAGCAAACAGCAACATTGCTCCCGTAACCTGGGGCAGGGTCCGACAGCCTTTTATCTTTGTCGGGGTAACAGCCAGTCCTGATCCCCCAGTGACTCACCTCCCTGTCTTGCCCGAACGTGAGCACTCCTCCTGCGAGTATTCAGGTCTCTCCTTCTCTCAGACCTGAGTCTCTGCAGCTCAGGAGATGTTGATGGGTTACTAGACCCAGAGGCTGCCTCAGCCTCTCCTGACCCAACTGGTAGTGGAGCAGCTGTAAGTAATGGCCCAGCTGAAGGCAACAAGGTAATCCCCACATCTGGAGCCAGGGCAAGCTCAGGCCCCTGACTCGGCCCAGCTGGTGCTTTTTGCAGGGGAACCCATGCAGACTGGGGCTCTTCAGAATCAGGCCCCAGACTAGGTACAGATGCCGCCTGAGGCAAAGGATCCAGTGCAGACTGAGACTCCTCTGGTTCCGAGTCCCAGGCCATCACAGCCTGGGGGAGAGGAGACTGAGAGGTGACATGAGAGCCATCTTCAGATATCAGAAGCCAGGCTATCATATGGAAGATGGAGTAAGCTTGCTTTCTGCTACTCCATACAATAGGAACCTTGGGGTAAAAAAATCTTATGAATGAATGAATGAATGAATGATGGATCAAGGAGCACACCCAAGCCACCAACCTGCTCCTGCAGTGTAACATCATCCAGAACAGTTTTTCTACACAATTCTGGGACCCAGGAGCTACCCACCCATGGAGTCTCTCCCTTGGTGGGATTTAGCTTCAGCTTTTTGGCCTCCATCCATCCCACCGCTGCATTCAGGCACCAGTCCAAGTCCTGCACAGCTACCCCTCATTCAGATCTCAAGGAGAAGGAAACCTACCTCAGCAGCTGCACGGTTTGTGTGATATAAGACACTGCGTTGCATGACACCCCAGTGTTCAGGAATGTGCATTTATACACCTGTGAGCTGGGGACAAGTGGGGGGGACACACGAGACCCTAAGAAGAGACCTGTTGGATCAGGCCAATGGCCCTTCTAATCCTGTTCTCACGGTGGTCAACCAGATCCGGCGGGAAGCTTGCAGGATATGAGTACAAAAACAACGCTATCTCCTTCTGTGGTTTCCTGCAACTGGTACTCAGGACCATTATTGCCTCCAAGTGTGGCTAGCAACCTGCCCTGTCGGGCTTCGGGGAATCAGCTTCCTCCCTGTGGCCATAAATGAACAGATCAAACGAAAGGGAATTCTTACCAGTTAAGTTTCTTGAATAAACACAGCGAAAACCAAAAGAAAGCTTCTAACCGGAATGGCGGCGCTCCCAATTAAGGTCGCACCCCTTCCGTCCCTATTAATCTAGTCACTCCTACATTTTGTACTCTGAGCTTGTAGCCTCTGAGCTTTCTGTTCTGCCGCTTTCTGAGCTCTCCATGACTTTGGAGAAGGAGGGGTGGATGCTATCCAGAGACTGTGAATCTGTTAACTCTCTCTCTCTTCTAGTGTTTCTTCTGCTAGCTGTTCCCCATCTAGTATTTCCCAGCTTCTGCCTTCTGGACTGTGCCCCTCTGCAAACCACTGTTCCAGATCTATACTGTCCTCCTGCTCCTGGGAAGATTCAGGATCAGGATCAGGAGGAGAGGGTGGCTCAGTGCAGCCCTCCTCAGCACTGTCCCTGACACAACCCTTGAAAGCCTTCTCCTCCACGACTTTGTTTAATCGTCTTTCAAAGCCATCCAGCTTGGTGGCCGTCACCACAAACCAACATGGCCAATAGCCATTGATAGCCTAATCTTTTGTGAATTTGTCTAATCCTCTTTTAAAGCCATCCAGATTGGTGGATATCATCCCCTCCTGTGGGAGGGATTTCAGTAGTTTAACTATGCACTACATACAGAAATGCTTTCTTTTATCTGTGCTGTCTTCGAACGTTCAGCTTCCTTGGAGGTCCAGGCCTTCTCGTGTAATATGAGTGGGAGAAAAAACTTCTCTGTCCACTTTTTCTACCCCGTGCAGAATTTTATAGTTTTATGCCTGACTTCCTCAAGCCATGAGTCCTGTGTCCAAGTGTGGAATCTACAACATCAAGATGTTGAGAGGAAGCTGAATTGTGAAGACCGGACCTGCTTAGCCCAATCCTTGCATGAACAATTTCACCAGGAATGCCTTCCTGCTATGTGTCAACATATCGGGTAGAGTAGGGTCTCCCAAACTTGGGTCCCAAGCTGTCATTGGACTACAGTTCCCATCATCCCTGACCAGTGCTTCTTAGGGATGATGGGAGTTGTAGTCCGACAACAGCTGGAGACCCATTTTTGGGGAAACCCTGGTTTAGAGCAGCCTTCTCCAACCTCCTCCCCTCCAGATGTTTTGGACTCTTAGGGGTCATCCACTTGTTCTATGCCTAGAAAACATGGGTCCAAGAGGTTTCCTGCTTGTTGCATGCTTCTAGACATGGATCTGAGAAGTTTCCCCTGCAGCTTTCCCTATGAAAACCAGTTTTTCGTGACTGAATGGGAGCAAACATCATAATACCATTTCAATATCCATCAATTCCATCCAGAGAGCATAGACAGAGTGTGTGTGTGCATCTCTATGTGTGTAGAGCATGAGACTATCAATCTCAGGGTTGTGGGTTTGAGTCCCACATTGGGCAAAAGATTCTTGTATTTCAGGAGGTTGGACCAGATGACCTTCATAGTCCCTTCCAACTCTACAATTCTACTGTGCAAAGCAGGCCCTGGAAGGTTGCCCAGAACAAAATGTGGCCCTTGGGCTGAGAAAGGAGAAGGCTTCAGAGCTGGTCCTTTGCATCTGGGCAGAGTTCAGACAGGAGAAATCCATTATTGAGATACTCGTCCTTCTGTGTTAGATGCCTTCCAAATTCACTTTTCTCTCTTGGAGAGCCTTTATCTTTATTTCTCACTCACAGCCGTTAAATCTGTTTACATGCCTTGCTTTGCCTTGAGAGCGGCGGACAATTCATCGGGGTTCAAGGGATGTTTAGTTCCAGCCTGTTAGTTAAAAACCGGGAGAAGTGCTCTCTGCAGAGGAAAATAACATCTCAGCTCTCCACCAGATACATCAATAACATTTTAACCCCCTGCAGTAGTCAACAGCTCCTCAACAGGGATCCTTTGCACATTTTCGGAGATGGACAAGAGATCCCATATCCAGCAATGCAAGTTTAATGCGCCCTTTTGAAATGGCACAGTGGGAACTGTGTTTGACAATCTCACCCGATGGGAAGTGTTGAAAAATACTGGGGGGAAAGGGAAGGGGAAATCACAGCAGAGCAACAACAACAACAACAAAAACCACACACCAATCCCTCAGGACCGAAACAGCTGCTTGTAATGTAGAGTCGGAGTATGTGAGGTGTTAGGGGAGGGGTTTACCTCTGGTGGGGTATGCATTGTGCTGCTTCTGAAGTCGTTTATCCACCTTTGGCCGCCAACCTGCACTCAGCTCCCACCTGTGGCTCCTAGAAGCTGTCAGCAGCCACAATCCCAGGAATGGCTTAGGTTAAGGTTACCAGACGTCCCCGTTTCCTGGGGACAGTCCCTGGATTTACAGATCAGGCACTGTGGGTTAAACCAAAGAGCCCAGGACTTGCCGACCAAAAGGTCGGCAGTTCGAATCCCCGCAACGGGGTGAGCTCCCGTTGCTCGGTCCCTGCTCCTGCCAACCTAGCAGTTCGAAAGCACGTCAAAGTGCAAGTAGATAGATAGGTACTGCTCCGGCGGGCAGGTAAACAGCATTTCCGTGTGCTACTCTGGTTCGCCAGAAGCCGCTTAATCATGCTGGCCACATGACCCGGAAGCTGTACGCCGGCTCCCTCGGCCAATAAAGTGAGATGAGTGCCGCAACCCCAGAGTTGGCCACGACTAGACCTAATGCTCAGGGGTCCCTTTACCTTTACCTTACCCCATGCAAAATCTATTGAAGTTGAAAAGTGTCCCCGAATTCATTGGGGGGGGGGGAATCTGGTAACCATAGTTTAGTTTCTGCTTTTAAATGCCTGTTGAAAACGTTACTATTCCATCCGGCTTATGTGGGTCCTGAAGAGTGCAACTGTCAGGATGCTGTAAGCAGCATCCGGCTGGTTGTCCAGGAAAGTATAAAGAGAAGGAAAAGTTTCTTACTATCCTTTTTTATTTCAAACTTTACAGAGAGAAGCTATAGAACCCGGCCTCTTGGATAATGGTGTGGTCCTGAGTGAATCTCCATCCCTGTCTCTTCCACTTCCTCATTCGTCATACGGGTGCTGCTACGTGTCCTCTGTCTTTGAGCTCTTTGCTCTCCTACTTTTAAGGCTCGCTGGGTTCTGGGAGATTGTATGGCTTTGTGGACAATTGTCGTAAACTGCTGTGTGTGGTTTTTTTTTAAAAAAATGATTAGCGGTATATAAATATTTTCATAATTAAATACATAATACTTGCACAATATTTTGAATAATATTTCATATACAGAATCAACAGACGGAGAATCGGAACTCCTTCTTCATTTATTTCTCTCTTCTTTCTTTTCTTTTCTGTTTTTTTAAATTATCCTAATTTCCTGTCTTCTTGCATCTTCTATCCACTCTGCTCTTGTTTTAAATTCTATTTTTGTTTAGACTGTTTTATTTAGACTGATTTTTATTGTACTGTATGCTGAAGAGCTTCAGTAAATAATAATAATACTTGCACAGCCAATGTTCACTTGCAGAGACCACATTCACTTCGGAAAATGTGTTATTACAGCAGCGAGACTTTTATATGAGCAGAGATGGAAGGACTTGTCACTACCGACAGCAGAAGAAAGGCTGTTAAAATTAACGGACTTAGCTGAGATGACAAAACTGTTTAATCAGAGAAAAGTCGTAGTTAACATTTATTGAAGACTGGAAACTTCTCATAGACTTTTTGCGTGAGAAAGAAAATGAAATAATGACATTTGGATATGAGGATGGAAGATAATGTTTGTTTATAGAATGTGTCTTTATAAAGTGTTATACCGGCGTAGCAGAAGCAAATATTGCTTATATACTCGGACGAAGAATTGGAAGTTCTTTAATTTCTGAACTTTATTTTCTTCTCTCTTGTCTATTTCTTCTTTATTTCTCTCTCTCTCTCTTTGTTTTCCCTGCTTTTCTTTTCTCTCTCTTCTTTTCTATGTTGTTTTTAGATCAATGCTTTAGTTTGGGGCAAAAAAAAAAAAGATATTTGATATTATTTCTCTTGATAAAACCTAATAAAATTTATTCCAAGAAAAGAAAAGGTTGTGTTTGATAGCTATCAGCCACCAGCCAGCAAAAGCCATCGAGCTGCCGCACTGCACTTTTTGACTTAACAACTGTTTCCTTGTTTGTATCAAGCTTTGAGAGTTTTTCAGGGGCTCTCACACCTGGGCCCAAACCAAAAACAACCCAGTTAGAAGCAATTTGATCTCTGTGACATATGGGGGGAAGCTCGTCCACACACTGCTCTCATGCTCCTTCCTTACTTCCCAGGGATCCATTTGGAATTTTATTAAGTGCTCATTGGACATGTTGGCACTCAGTTGCACAAATTATTCAAGAGCTTTTTGTGGTGTGTGGTCTCAAGATGATTCAGCTCCCCTGGCTGAGCAAACTATAGACCCAAAAAACGAGGGTATGAGTGGAGAGGCAAACAGAGCGGAATTGGGATGGAGCTAATGGTGTTCCTTAAAACAAAAAGAAAAAAAGGAACATTCAGGAAACATGCAATTTTCCTCTTTTTTTGTAAAAGGAGGTGCAATCCCAGGGGTTTGCTAACAGCAGATGAATATACTCATCTATTCAGACAAAAAATATATTTTAAAGCATTGCAGTTAAGGTAGGTTTCTTCTATCTAGAAGTGCTACAGACTGCTTTTTTCTGGGAGGATGCAGGGGGACACATACCCCTAAACATTTTGTGAATCTAAGTTTGGCCTCATTGAGGGGCAGACTTTCAATATGAGTAGGAAAATGAGAGTACAGTGATACCTCAGGTTACATACGCTTCAGGTTACAGACTCCTCTAACCCAGAAATAGTGCTTCAGGTTAAGAACTTTGCTTCAGGATGAGAACAGAAATCGGGCTCCAGCGGCACAGCGGCAGCAGGAGGCCCCATTAGCTAAAGTGGTGCTTCAGGTTAAGAACAGTTTCAGGTTAAGTAGGGACTTCCAGAATAAATTAAGTTCTTAACCCGAGGTACCACTGTACCCCTAAATTTTTTTTGTGGGGGGGAGCACTGCATACATCAATAATTGGTTCAGCCTTTTCCTGCTTCCCTTAGTCGTCATCATCATCATCAAACCATCACATACAAACATTCAGAAAAAATAGGCAAGTGTGATCTTGTCGCCATTTCAACAGTACAGTCATTTGCCAAAGGGAAGAAGAGGCAAGCAATCTATTTCATCTTTGTGGGTCTCCAGCAAGGGCAGGATCCTGTAGCAGCGACCAAAAAATCAAATAGAGGAACCTGGCTACTGTCTTGGTGAGCTCCTGGTCTCTCCCCTGTAATAAGAAGCATATAACCTCTGTCTCTGGTTTCCATGTTGGAATACATAGATGGTCTAAAAATTGTTGGCTGAGATCATCATACATTTTACATTTAAGGGCCATGTAAGCTAGAGTTTCTACCAGGTGGGCATCACATGGGCAGATCCTATCTCCTTCTGCCATACCTGCGAACCTACCCCAAAGAAGGTTAGAAGGATTAGAATTGAACCTAGCTAGCGAAAGAGCCCTTCTTTCTTGTGGGTTAAACAAAAATTGTAAATAATTAAGGTTAAATTCCTGCGCCCAAGAGAGTCGAAAATAAAGAAGGGAACGTGTGTTTTCCGCAGCTGAGATTAGTTCCTGGCAACTTCCCTTAGTCACAGTGATGTAATGGAAGGGTAATGCTGGGAGCTCCAATGACTTACTGCCCCCCCAAAAAAAACCCCAAAGGAGTGATGATGTCATGTGCCAGAATGCTAAGAAAATTAATAGCAGATCTTCTTTCCCTTGGCAAGCAAATGAGGCGATAAGGAGGCATTTGAGTTTGTGATAAGTTACATAGAGGAAGTCAGAGAAGGAGGAAAAATATTTGAGCAGAGGCTAACGACATCTTCCCCTTTTTTGATGGTGTTCCTACTTCGCACCAGTAGTTTAACAGAACGCTGCTTTGCTGCACAGTTTGCTTTCTAATTTCTAAGCTCTCCTGGTGGTTTTAGCACCCAGGAAGGTACTGTGAGTGGTTAAGCAAAACAGGTTCTGAAAAACAATATGAGGAGGAGGAGGAGGAGGAGGAGGAGGAGGAGGAGAAGAAGAAGAAGAAGAAGAAGAAGAAGAAGAAGAAGAAGAAGAAGAAGAAGAAGAAGAAGAAGAAGAAGAAGTTGGTGTGATTTACTTTCTGCAGTCTCTCGAGCTAACATGCTGCTTGTTGCTGAAAGTCACTTTGATCTCCTCAAGTAATTCAGACTGTGTTTTTCTCTAAATGACACCTAATCCCTTATTAGCTCATCCAATGATACAAGCGTCTGTTCTGATTCCATGAAACTATCCAATCCTTCCCATGGGATGCAAGTTTTTGTTTTGTTTTTTAAGCACTAATGCAATATGATTTTCTTGCCTTGGCTTTTCCTTTTCCCATTCTCTTCCTCTAAACCTGTGGATAAAAA